TAGCGTAGGACTTTATTTTCCGCACTTTAATTTCTGCACCCTTAAAACTGCTAAATTTTGCATGAAAGAATGAATGGCCAAAAATAAAAACAATGCGTAGCTCACCAAATGCATGACAAGACAAAACATAACTGAAAGCAATACACAAATTCACACACCACTCTTAGGGTACGCCTCACTGTTGCCTTGCCCCTCGAAACGTGGTCGTCGAGTATATAACGTTTTAGTAAGTCCTTATGTCCATGATCTATGGCATAGGGGTAGCTTCTAAGGTGTCCTACTATTGCTCCGGTGACCACACTGTCCCTAACCCTCGAATTGACCTGAACACCTCCAACGGTGGTGCTACCTACCTCTCAATGGTGGGATGGCATTACCTTAAGGACATTTACACAGCCTAATTCCTTAGGGTAGGTAGATGACTCATAGATACTTGCTCTATTCAAAAACAAATCAAAACTCTTTTCACACCGACACTTTTCAAAAAAAGCTTTCAAAACAATTTTTCAAACACTCTTGAGGACTGATACAAGAGTCGATCTGAAATCTTTAAACGAAACTTTTTTTCAAACCCACTCACACTTTGAAAAGCAAACACTTTTGAAAACACAAATGAGCAAGTACCTAAGAGCCCGTGGATAACCACGGATAGAAAGGGTGCTAACACCTTCCCTTTCTATAAATCTACCTCCCGAACCGAGAAACTATCTCATAAGGAATTTTGCTGTGCTTTTGTCCTATCCATGTTGGAGAAAATAAAAGACGGTGGTGACTCTTGCTTCCGCGACATTTCGCGAACCAGCATTAAACAGTCAGTTCCAGATCCACCGATCACACTAGGGATCCCAGGAAGCGATTGGGACAACTACAAGGCCTTGAGGATGCCTGGAAGTATCAATTCCTGTTTGCACTTTTTTGGTGTTTTTTCAAGTTTGGTTCTTGATGTTGCGCCTCTCTCTAGCCTCTCTTTTGGTCTGCACACGATCCTTATGTACTGAGGAATGAATTAGGGTTGAAAGAATGTGCTTAATCTTCCTCCATCATTGCATTTGATTTTGATTTGATACACTTGAGTATCTTTCCCAAAATAGTCCAAATCCAATCTTTTTGTGCACTCCATGCCTTTACACGAATTTGATCTCATGCTAGCTGGAATTTAAGACCTGAAACATGTAAAAAATCTTGGGTTTTCAATATTTTGGATTTTCTATGATTTGTTTTGATTTAAAATGATTTAATTCAAATAAAAATCAAAATAAATAATAAAAACAAGATAATGACAAGTGGAAAAGGCTAGGGCTCGTGGACCATGATGAAAACTCAAAACAAGTGCAAAAGATTGGGCCCATTTGGCAAAAATTGAAGTTTTAGGCATAGTTGATTTTTGACAATTTTGCAAAAAAGGTCAACTTCACCAATGCATAACTTCCTCAATTTTGACTCGTTGGAGGTGTTCTTGGACTTTTTAGAAAGCTTGAGATGTCCTCTAATCAACCCTTTTGGTCTCATCTCAATTTGATATTCCATGTTCAAGTATGAAGCTTTGACAAAAAAGGTGTTTTTGTTGACTTTTCAAAATGACCTATAATGTCCAAATTCATAACTTATTGTGAGTGCATATTTTGAACTTGGGAGCTGAAGATGGATTGTATAGAATTGCATCCTCTTCAAAATGAGCTTTGGATGGGTCATTTCTCATAAAGTATGATAAAGTTATGCTTTGTCAAAGTTGAGTTGACTTCTCCGGCAAAACCCTAGTTTAACAACTTTTGATTCTTGATGAATTGTGAGCAATCCTTGATGAATCATGATAAACCCTTGATAAAATGATGAAATATACTTCAAAATGAGGATGTTGACCAAATTTTTTGAAGTTTGACTGTATGTGGGCCATAGTTACTTTTGCCCTAGCACAGTCGATTTTTGGGCTTTTGAGCAATTGACTGAGCAAACTTCCTCTGCAAGGCTTGAAACTTGACATAGATGATCTTGATAACATATTAGGGCAATGGTGAGCATTTGGGATCCATTGGACTCAAGTATCTTGATGCAATATGAAACCCTAATTTGAGGCAGACTGCCTTAGGAGAGAGCTTGTCTGGTCAACTCTTGGACTATCTCGAGCAACTTGAGAATCTTTCTTGAAATGTTTTGAGAAATATGGGAGGGCAAATTTTGGGGTACAACAATAGGGAACCGTTTTCCCGGGTACGCCGAGCATATTTTTCGACCGCGGTGGGGAATTTGGAGCATCCAGTTGGAGGGGGGCCCTTCTGCGCGTACCTCCAGACAATTGAACGCGTCTGTTGCGTCTTGAGAAAAGCACAACCATTTATTTCGGGGCTCAGGAGCAAGCCAAAGGGTCCTCGTCGTTGTGGGGCTCGTCTTCATAATTGGCATCCGGAATGTCGTCCCCGACTGAGTGCGCTATTATACCTGAAAAGCAAGGGAAAATAGTAAATTCAACATTATCAAATCCACCCTTCCACCGCGGATCAAGTGAAAGGGCTACGAACTGGACCCAAGCCCTCGACTACACGCTAAAGCGGACTATTTCGTTGGGAGATCACGTTGTCAGAGGGATGATCACTAACCGAGCAAGAAGCCCGAGAAAAACCCCGTATCCGGGGAAAACGTTCCATGTGTTACGGCCACTATTCGGGGAGATCCCCCCGACGCTATAGCAAGTGAATGTCAATCATGAGTGTTCGATGCAGAACTCATGAACTTCAATGAACATTCATGAGTATTCATCATAGAACTCATAAAACGTTCATCCAATCAAGGCATATTTTAGACATTTAATCCAGAAACGCTGAAGAAACATGGTGTTAAGAGGTTGTAACTTACTTGGATAAAGAACTCAAAGAGAAAATCTGGGAAGTTGAGAGGATTGCTTCACACAATAAGCAAGAAAATTTGGGAAGTTGAGAGGATTGCTTCACACAACGAGCAAGAAAAGTTGAAAGGAAACTTGAGAAGATGATAAATGAGACCCAGGGGACCCCTTTTATAGGTGACCAACTCCCCACGAGGTCCCTCACAAAAGGTCATCATTTGATTGGGCCTTTTGGGTTTCCCCTTGAAGGGGTGGCACCCCAAAACGTTAACCACATGGCTCAACTGTCAACCACGTGTCCCTTTTAGATCGACGAGCATCTTCCAGACTCCAACGCGTTATTCCCATACAAGCATGAGACAAATACCCCACGCGAGGGATTGCTCGACTTTGTGGCGCGTACACGGGCACATACATTCAACCACCCCAGGGACGAAATAATGCTCGACACATCGATAACTCCCTGAAGACGGGCGCGTCGAAAGAGATCTCGTGGAGGCTCCCCGTAACTAATACGGTCCTCTCGAGCAAGCGACTGACCCCTTCGGTCTCACTGCTCGTTCATCCATAATATCCCCGATACACTTGAACTTGTCCCCCATGCGGGTAACAACTCGTTCCTTTCAGAGGACTTTGACTGTCCTTCTCGATCAAGTCTCCGACATTGAGAGTTGAACTCAAGTCATCGCCCTTTTGCTCAAGGGCAATAACTTGGGGAACTCCTGATTTGGATTGGGTCTACACTTGCCCTTCGAATGGGAAGCCCAAAAACAGAGCTCAAGTTAGGGACCGTTGGACAACTCCCCGCACGTCCGCTAGAGGACGTGGCCCACGATCTCACGACAATCATCTTAAACAGCCCTTCAGGAATCACGGGTCCAACCCTATTCTCGCGGAGCAGTTGACCAGGGGAGAGTCCACTTGTTGGACTCCATACACACGTAAGCCCTAATAGTTCCTGTTATTGGGCCTCAACGTGACCCAATAATGGGGACCTTGGCCCAGCGCTAAGGGCTATAAATATCCTCTCTTCTAAGAGGGTCAAATATTCAACACTTTCTAACTCTGACGCTTGCTTGTTCATTCCGCAACTTACTTTTCCATCAGAGTGTCTTGCAGGTACTCACATCTCATTCAACTTTACCCGAGCTAGTTGTGACGGTCCATTCTGTTTCGATAAGATCAATAACTTATGATATTGTTCATAAGGATTTTTCAACATATTTTTCATAAATCTTTCAAGACATTTAAACTTTATTTTTATATTTTAATTTAAAACACAAACACCATATATATTAATAAAATTATTAATATTTATTTAAATAAATAAATATTATAAATTTAAAAGGTTTATTTTTGCAGCCTTAACCAACTTTTTTAATTAAATAAATTTATAAAAAAAATTTGAGTCTTTTCTATTTAAAAAAAATCTGAACTTATATAAATTAATGGATAAACTCTGCACAAGTTAGAATTTTTTTCCCTTATGTTCTTATTATAGACCAAAACACACAAGTTGATTCATTCTCCAAGTCTTGGAACAATCTCAGCCTCAACTTAAAAGGCAACACAATCACGAAAGCGACTTCCAAAACACCGAGAGCCATAAAAAAGGTCCTCCATGGTCCCCACACAGCTCATGCAAAACCCAACCAAAATAAGAAAATCCGCAATCAAAAATAAATAATAAAATCAGAAAAAGTAAAAAATCAAACCAATCAAATCACAGCATTTGATAGAGCGATTCCAAGCCACTACTTTAGATACGCTTCCTTACAACACGTGGGCCCCACGCTCCGTTTCTACACCATTCATCTAATCTTACGTCACTCAATTTCATCCTATTCATACACTCTCTTCGTTTTTTCTCCTTCTGTTTACAATTTCCGGTGCCGTTTTCTCCGTCGATTGCGCAATTCCTCTTCACTGTATTTTCTTTTAATTTGAATATTCTTCTTCTCTCTGTTACTATTTGTTACTGTATACGTGAACTGTGAAACGAAAACGACGCTGTTTTGTTTTGTTTTGTTTCACCGGTTGATTTGACGGTGTGCGATTCTCGATGAGATTGTGGTGATTCCGGCGATGATTGAGTTAATTCGACGTATAGCGTTTGATTCTGGTTTAAGCTTTGTGGATTGCTTTGCTCAGTTTATAAGAAATGTTTGATTGGAACGACGAAGAGGTGAGTCAATTTTTTTCCAACTCGTTTTCTTCTTTTTTTTCTGTTGTTGTTGGTGATTTTGGAATTTTTATTTGAAAGTTTGTTCTAACTCAATAATTATTTATTTATTTTTGAATAAACTTTCAATTTAGTTCTTAAAGTGACGCTTTCAAACTAATCTATGGAATAGAGTTTTTCATATACTTCATGGAAGAAAATGATAGGTTTTATTTACTTTAGGAATTGTTAATTACTTTTATATATTTTAGTACTAAGTTGTTGGTTTATTCTTTATTCGGTGAGTTTTAGGTGTTAGTATTAGATTTGATGAGATTCTTCGTCCGAACACCGGAAACACGACACCGACACGTTGACATCAGTCATAATTTAAAAAAATGAATAAATTAAATGTAATCACAAGTGTTGGTTTCGGAGGCAGACACCGATACTGACACGTCGACACCTGTCATAATTTGAAAAATTGAATAAATTAAACTTAATTAGAAGTGTCGGTTTTGGAGAAAGACACCGACACCGACACACATTTTTTTAGGTGTCGGTGCTACATAGCTTATTATTGTTATGAATTTGATGATTTGCTCGTGTTTGTTGTCTGTGGCAGTTTAAACATGGAATTATTAGATGATTGAGGTGAAGATGTTGTTTGTGTAGTTGGAAACTTTGTCTCCTATTAGTATTACCGGCTTTTGGATTTTACTTTGTTGTTTCATGATCTGCTATTTAGTACAAAGTGTTGTCAATAGGCGCTAATATCCCTATTGTGTAGTGGAATTGTAATAATCTACTATTTTCCGCTAACCGCAATTGACAATAATCACAATATTGGTCTTAGACTGACAATATTGGTCTTATGAGGTCTACTGTGGATCGATGATTGAAAATCTCTCAAAACTTTGACTTCGATTGACATCGTCACTTTTAAGTAGAAGTTTAGGGTAATTTCACTTGCTTATGACTGAAGACAGCGTGGCCTTGTCGGTGTCGATTCCTTGTTTTTTTGCTGAACTGACACCTAACTAGGCACTGTCCTAGTTGTTAGGGTGAAGAGTACCACGTGCTTCTTCTTACCGAGAGCAGCACTAATTGTTGTTAAAGTTTCACAATTTTTATTCATTGCTCCACCATAGACCACATGCGACACTTCTCTACCCTAGAAGCCGCCTTTGATTTGATGGTTGTAGAATTATTTAAGCTTGTTAAGAGTCCCACATCGGACAATATATGGCCTGAACATGAGTTTATAAGTGGGAGTAACCCTATCGAGTTAGGCTCAACTCACACATGTTTTGTAGGGTCGAGTTAGGCTCAACTCACACATTCTAAGAAAGCTAATATCAATTAATGACGAAGTACAGAAAGTTAAAGGGGAAATAATCGAGGGTTATATTGAATCTGAAATAATCTGGTTCCTCTCAGTGAGGAAATTATTTCAAAGTGTTTTTCAGATGGGGAAAATCATGTATTCTGTTTCCGGATTTTCCATTCCGTTCGTGAGTGTTCAGAATTTTCCGTTGTCGAATATAGGTTTATAGGGTGAAAAGAGACAGGGGAATATACAATGGACTATACTCATCCAACAAGCAAGCAATATTGTGGAAACTGATTTTCCCGTCTCTAACTATTGCGTCAACGGAATTGTGAAAGGAGGTAAGGAACCATGTTTCAATAGAATTCTGAGTGAAGGACTGAAGCCTGAAGGTTTATGGTAAATTTTCAGGCTTTGACTCTGTTGTAGAAATGTTAATAAAAGAATATAATTTATGGTTAATATCCCATGACTATAGTCACTATCAGATACCTTAAATCAAGTTTTGGACTCCTGGTGTAGTTGGAGGTTAACATAGTTGTCAAGAAACCTAGAGAAAGGTAAGAAAAGTCAAAGAGTATGAACTGATATATCAATATCTTTTGTGAAAATTTCTATCAGCCTTTCAGGTGATTTCTGATCTGTCACCTTTGCTGGTTGCATAGCAGGGTCAGAAGTAGAGGATTAGAACTCAACTGTTAGTAGCCAATTGAAGGAATATATAGTAAATAAACAGGTAATTGAGGGGATAAATAGAAATTTCTCAATAGATAACTAATTGTAATAATGAGAGAATAAATACGGACCATCTCACTGATGATAAAATTTATTTGATATGAGAAAATATATAGGGGTCATTTTCATGCATTTGATCATAATCGACAGCCCTAATGGAAATTGCAAGGGGCTCAGCATATTTGCATGAATCTAAAGGGTCGTAGAAAGTTGGATTATATTGAATGGAATGCTCCAAAGAAGAATGACCCAGAGTTTGTGCGTTTGGATGATGAAAACTCATTTTTGTGTCTGGTTGTGGAGCTCTATGACTGTGATAATATTTACCAACTTTTTCCTTGAAGTAGGGTTTTTCTACCAGCTATGACTTAAAAACAAAAAATTTCAACACCAAACAAGGAAACATGTCTGTTACAGAGTGTTACTGGATCCTTAATTTTCATCTTGGCTATGTTTGTTGGGAGAGTTCGGATTTTTGGAAGAAAGAAAAGGATTCTCTCACTTTCCTAGGTTTTCTATACAATACGGGGAGATGGTTTGATACCTGTAGGACAGTTATGCTTGATTGATCATTTTTTGTGAATGTTTGAGAAAGAGTGTACTTTACCTGTATCCTAGGAGATCGACACTTTTGTGAAGCTTCTAATTCAAGCCTTGTGTGACTGTGTTAACGTATATAAGGTATTCCATCAACTTTTGTGAAGCTCCTTAATCTGCACACCTTGCTTATTCAGTCAACTTTTCCTCCAAGACCAATGTTGACAGTAAAGATCAATTGGCAACCAACCATAATTTTGGTAGAAGGTAAAAGGACAAGATCCTAAGGTTAAGAGCGTCAATTTTTATGCCAGCAATCGAGTCTAGCTTCCGCTACATTCGGTTAGTCGTAGCAAGTTGACAAATCTTAATGAGGTATGGAAACAGCTGAGTATTTCACTGAAGTAAACAATAAAATTGATGAATCCTTTGTTAGCTCAAACATATTATCATCTTTTGAATTATAGAAATAGTGCTGTTAGAAATTATGTAAATAGTGTAATTTTGGCTGGTTCTATGTAATTGCAGCTAGAGTATCGCACCTGTCATGTATGATTTTTGTCTTCAAACAGTAGAATTTTAGAGCTCCCTTAATATATCTTGGAATGTGAGTTGTTGCAATTTTTATAAGTGATAATTTGATCTTTTGCTAAAGGAAGAAACATAATGCTATCGAGCGATAGCCTCAAGCCCCCAATGAACTTATTTGGCTCAAACAGTTTCCTAAAGAATTGAGGTTCCCTCGTAAATTTCGATGATCAATTGGGAGGTGTTTTTATTCAGTCATTGAGGTCCTCGGACTAGTTACGGATGTCACAAGCTTGTCACACAACTTGAGGTGTAGTGTTCGAAATAATGTAAATAGAATAACTCTGAAATATAAGGCTCCTTTGTAAGTTTCAATGATCAGTTGGGAGGTGTCATTGAGGTCTTCGAATTAGTTACGTATGTAACAAGCTTGACGCACAACTTGAGGGATAGTGTTAGAAATAATGTAAATAGAATAATTCCAAAACGATTCTACATAATGATTACAATTGGGGTAATTATGAATCCTTATACTTACTATGGCTCTTTGTATATGTAATATTCTCTGATTTGTAATTCAGACACACTAATCCCATCATGTATTTCATCTCTTTTCCTTCTCAGTTGATGTCATACCTGGTTATAAGGTTCACGTAGAATTTTGTAGTCTAATCCTCATTCTTCAAGCATTTCCCTTCTTCCTTTTGCCTACTTATTTTGTGCCTATCAGCTTCTAAAGAGTACTCTTATTTTCTTACTTCTGCGCTCAATAATATTAATGTTTAATAATGGAAAATTTTCAGCTTGCTAATATAATATGGGATGAGGGAGGTGAGAGCGAAGACCATATTGTGCCTTTTCCGGAAAGAAGTGAAGATCTTAGAAACAAGAAAGAAGTAAATCAGGAACCAGCTCTGTGTAAGCTTACCAAGCGGAAGCAACCTGAAACGAAAACTGATTTTCACGGAAAACCAGGAAGCAGTTCAAACCTTGATAATAGTGGAAGACTACTTGCCACAGGATATGGAGCAAGCTCATGGTCGGACTTGTCTTTATCCAGTGCAACTAAAATTGATCAGGGTTCTCTGGGAAATGACTTATCTAAAAATCAAGGTGAACTTAATAAACTCAGTACATCAAGAGATGGTAAAACTGCTAATTGCTGGAATTATTAGTAGATAGCTTGTCTCATATTTGTCTATGCGTTTTTGTCTGTGCAGGCATCTGCCTGCTGATGTTTTTTTGTGCTTGCATCCCACCGTCATAATATGAAAAATAATGAACATGCATGCTATTAGCTATATTTTTCCATTCCTAATTGTATAAATGTTTGACAGAAGAGACCACACATCATGAAAATGATGCTGAATTGTTTCAAAATGCCGACGAAGGGAAAGAACAAGGTGATTTTGTTGATTACGACTGGGCTAACATAGGAAGTTTTGATGACCTTGATCGGATTTTCAGGTAAAGTAGATTATCTATATTATTTTATATCTGGTCTGATACAAGCATATGTCTGATAGCATTGTAGCATTATGATCATAATTGTCATGGATTTCTTTGTATTGTTTTTTTGCCTGAATTTCTGAAGCTAAAACCTAAACTCTCCCGATAACCTAACTGTTGTATTCACCACTTTTCACGGTTCTTTACAAACGGATCCATCTTAGTTTAAGTCCCTTCAAATTTATTCCTTGAAACTTATGTGCTGCAATGTGGTTGTAGCTGCGATGATAATAAACTTAAATCATTCGAAGTAATAAAGGGATGATTCTGATGTTAAACTTTGGAACACCTTTACTCTTTAAAATAGAAAACAGGGCTTCATGTTTCTAATTTTTGAACTTTGATGATTATCAGTGGGTAGTTTTACTTCCCATTGGCTTTCATCATATGTGCACGCAATGGGTAACATGGGTAAGAAGTACTGAAGTTCCTGAGTAATAGTAAACAATAGCAGACACACATCTATCCTTATAGTTGTTTGTCTTTCTATTTTACAACGGCATCTATCTGACTGAATATTCTCACAAGTGATGATTTTGCAGCAATGATGACCCTATATTTGGCCATGCAAGTCTTGATAATTCTGATGAGCTTTGGTCTGCTAAAGATGTGAGTAACGATCAAGCACCAGCATCCTTGGATGTACCAAATCACACAGACACTCTAAGGAATAGATCAGGGCATTTTGAAATCAAAGAAGAACACATTCATTCTAGTGATCAATCATTTTCCCTTAGTTACGAAAAGGTTTCTGGTCCTGCATATCAAAGTATACAAAATTCACACACAACAACTGATAACGTGGGAAGTGCTGGAGATAGAAGTAAGCTTACTGGAAAGGAGCAGCAGGTATGTCAAGTAATTTTCAACAACAGTCCATTATTGAGTTCTCTATTTTGTATAGTGGAACAAATAAATTTTTCATTTTGTCCTTTAGACTACATGATCCCGATATGTTAGGAAGCAGTATTTCCATGTCTGCGGCCTTTGGTTTATCTGTTGTAATATTTGCAACAACAAATGAGCAAAATGATTACACACACACACACAAAAGCTATCTTCTATATTTGCTTCCTAGCTTCTGCTATCTAGTTTATCAATCCTGGCATTTGGTTATCTTATCTTAGATTTAGGGCCTTACTCAACCCCACAAAACCAACCTGTAAGATGAGAGATCCCATTTTTTATAATCATGTCATCCGTCATCCCCATAGACTAGTAGAACAGTGAGTTCACCTTCATATCATTGTTTCATGAAAAATGTTTTAACCAATACACCTTATTCCCTCCATCAGTGGAGCCTTATAGAAGCTTCTAAATTGAGATAAGAATTTGATTCTTAACTAAATAAAAAGACTTCACATGTTTATATGTGCCTAAGGAGAAGTTAGTTTTTGGAAATTTTGAGATGGAGATGCTCATTTCAACAATCTCTAGATGCCATTAGTTGGAGGACTCAGAATCACTGTAGGATTATTTCATTTTAATTTTTAAGTGCTTTTTTTAGTAATAATATTCATAAAATATTTGAATGTCAAAATATATTTATTAAAGTATCTGAATTAAGGAAACACTGGTTTTGTTATATCTTTCTGTGTGCATTCTGTTCGATTTAATTTGCATGATTTTCTTTAAATGGTTCCACACCCTTTACATAATCATGTGCCAAGGATTTCACCTGTTTCCTTCTCAAACTCATCCCAAGATTTATTCTCTGTTACTTTATATATATGCAGAGTTTTAGGCAAATGAATCAGTTGAAAATCCAGGAAAAGTCGCATATAAAACAAGAGGGGAAAGATTTTCAGGATTATTATGGTAATTGGTCTTCTTCAGCAACATCGGCAAGACAATATGATAATCAACTGGCACCTTCTGTCCTACAACCTTTCCCCTCTTCAATTCTTGAGCAACGGAAGCAACTCCAAGGACCTGAGACACTATATCAGAACATCATAAATCCATATGCAGCACCTTCTGTGTATGGTAACCTTACTAATGCATATCCTGCTACGCCAATGCTATCACATATTCAGTCGGGAAATCTTAGGCATCAGCCTGTGCTCTCTGGGTATGAAACATCTCCTGGTTCGATGAATCCTTTGAAAAGTTATGCAGGCTCAGTTAATCCTCAAACTATGACTCCTCAGGAGAAAATTGAAAAATTGAGGCGGCGACAGCAAATGCAAGCAATGCTTGCTATTCAGAAACAACAGCAAGTACTGGGCCACCAAGTTCCTAACACTGGTAAATCTGTCGCTCAAAAAGGCTGCCCAGAAATTCAAAGTCATCTTACTGATGGGACTGATCCTAAAACCGAAGATTTAAGAACTCTTCCTCCAATTGAACAAGATGATTCCAATTCAATATCTCTGGCAATTGATGATGATTTTGTTGAAGAAACCATACTGTACAGGATTCAGGACGTTATATCAAAGGTATTGTTGAGTTGCAACTTTCTAATGTATGCTTGCAGTAAAATTATTTTGTTGTACACTAATTTGGACATGGCTTCAATCCCGAGGCAAACTTTTTCTACAGTTAGATGTCAAAACAAGATTCTGCATCAGAGATAGTTTGTTTCGGCTGGCACAAAGTGCAAAGCAAAGGCATCATGCTAGTGACACAAGCAGTACAAACAACAATAACAAAGAGGAGTATGAATTTTTTGCAAAAGAAGAAAGCAGTAGCCAGAACAGGTTAGAAAAATTACAGTAATAACCACTACTTTAATTGCCACGAGTCCATGACTGCTTGATTTTTGTTTATAAGTAACACTTATTATTATGAATTCAGTACTATTATTTTATCTATGATGGTCAGCTCCAAAAGCTAAATATTGAGTACTATAAGGTATTGGAGAACCAAGTGAAACTAATATGAAGTGTGAGAAAATGTTGGGAAACGGAAGAAAGCTGAAATAATAAATTGTCTTAAACAACTTTTTATTCTTTGTAATACATCAATTTTGGCTATTGTTCCTATAAAAATTCTCGTTGGTTTGAGTTCATGAAATTTAGGAATAGTTGTTTTTGGCCTTCTTAATTTTGATCTGAGTTCTGTAATATTTGTCCATATTGAATCACTCCTGGTAATACATGAACCATATTTATTTAGTATGTGGAGTAAGGACTAAAAAAAAAACAAGGATCAAAAGTAAATTTTGAACTAAACCCAAACAATATATATGGGAATAAAACCGACAAGAATTTTTATGGGGTCTAAACTGGAAATGGTGTTTACTTCAAGGACTAAAAAGTCATTTGGATATACATATCTATAAAGTTGATTCGATAATCTCACAACACGGTTACATTCAATCACAAACTTAGATGATTTCTTGTTAGCTAAGCCATGTAAATTGTTGGTTGGTGCTGTGCAGAATAGACATGGCCTTGGTTGTTTAAATGACCACTTATTATGACTTAAGTAGGACTTTGGTTTCCTAGTTATCTTATTTGAGAGGACAACATTTTATCCTGTAAAACTGTCAAGTGTACTTGCATTTCAAAAGCAATCGATTCCAACATTTTTTTGTAATGTATATTACCTTACCTTCACCTTGATTGCCATGTCGAGATGTTTAATGATAGAGACCCGAATGAGGGTTGAGAAGGAAAACAAAAATGTAATAAGGAGTGAGGTAGGCTCTTAGTTGGGAAGTTTGTTATGCCTTAGTAGTATAAATAATGATTATACAAGGATTATTCGATGAATCGTTATGGTTAGGCTGAAAGAGTTTTCTCCAACTCTGACGAGGTTGGCTTGGGGGTAGATTGGGATTCATTCCCTTCTACAATTCTATCTTTCGTTTTACTGTTGTAAGAGCTTTAGCTCATTTTCCATCTAATAATGATGTTATTTTACATTCTTTAATCTGTGGTTTCCATCATTTAACAACTATTTTTACTTAATGAACCATGTTGGTATCACAGATATGCCAGGATGCCTGATGTTGAAACAGAGACGAATTCCATTGATCGAACTGTGGCTCGTTTACTCTTTCATAGGCCTGTGGAGTTAACAGGAAATTATTCTGACAAACTGGAGTCGCCCATTCCAACTAAGGTGCAATGTGAAAGCAAAGCAGCTGACCAAGTGAACTTCTCCATGAGATGCTTACAAGAGGCGGACTTGAGATGTAATCAACAGTTTTCTCCCCTTGGGTTAGAGAATCCCTGTCCATCTTTTGCGGTCCAGCCTGTGAATCAAGTTAAAAACAGTCTTGGCATAACTTCAGAGAATGCATCTAACCCTCAGGAGTTTAAAGCCTCTCAATGAAGAAAGAGGTTATGCAGAACGAGAAGGTAATTATTTATTCCTACAGTGCTTATTGCAACGTTTTCCTAGTTTAATTTTTATATAAGAATTTACTGGTAATTCAAATGTTTTATTTTATTGTCAGCCTTCTGGATCATAACCAAGCTCAAGTGTCAATGTAGATTCCCGAGAACCAGTTTCATGTTTGCATGTCATCAGTAACATTTGTTTCTTCTGTTTTAAAACACGAGATATATATCTTCGTATCTGACCATACTTAAGGTCGCCAGTGCTAAGTTGTTTTAGTCATAGCTACGTCAAATATTTGCAGCAAAGCCACTTGTGTCAAAATAATAATGTCTGCGCTGCCTGACTTAGACGACGCTTTAAAGTTTGTCATATTTTTGCATGTACCACTGGCCAAACTTGTTCTTATCTTCAACAGGTATATAACAGGCGTCATAATATATGTCTTCATCTTAATTACTTTAATTTTCAGGGTGACTGTCATACTAATATGGGGAGTTTACTCAGTTTGTCACCTCATTTCACATTGATTACATGCCATGCTTTTGAAGGTAAAAAAGATTATTGCTGGTTTTCTGATAATGTAGTGCAAAAACATGCCTACATTAAGTTGTTTTCCTCCTTGCTCACAGTCTATGAGCTTAATAGGCCCATGGCTAAGCAGTCACATCTCGAATCCATATATAGTTTGGATGAAGTTGGTGCTGCTTTTTCTGTCTGACTTTGAAGATTCTATAAATAGTTGATGGATGATGACAATGAAAGCCATGAGGAGTGGTCAAGGATTTGAACTTAATTTATATTAGGAAATCGGAAAAATGTAAGTAAATCGTTAACGTGGATGACGGACGGGTGAGTATCTAGAGTGACTAGGATCCGTTTACATCAGGTTCTAAAGTTGGTATACTTACACTTTAAGTTATAGGATCCATTTACATCAGGTTTTAAAGTTGATATACTGGCGCTTTTAAGTTATATGATCCGTTTACATCATGTATTAAAGTTGGTATACTTACAATTTTAAGTTATCTTCAGATTATGTATGCAAAATATTAGATAGCTTAGACATTCTTAAACATACACAGTATATTTTAAAATGTTGAACATTAGTAACTCATTTTTTAAAATAAATTCTAATTATGATGAAGTGCGAAATGATTTTAAAACTGTATAGTTAGGCCCCTTTATTTTAGTTTTTTTAAATGATTTTTATGTTCATATATAATTGTGTAAAAAAGTTTACAAATAAAACTTTTTAAAAAACTTTTAAATAAAAATTTAGTTTCAATAGTTATTCTTAAAATGTAATTTCATATATTTTATTATCTTATTGAAATTTTTTTTTGCATATTAAATTTTTTTAAAATCACTTGATTTTAAAGTTATTTTAAATCATTTTTCATAAAAATCATTTTTAAAATATATTTTTCTTAAAAAATTGCGATTTCGATAATATTTTGATCTTCAATGTTATTATAGAATATCAAATTTTGTCTTTTAATTTTGAAAAAATAAATATAAAAAATTGTAATATTTCAAAAGAGATTTTATAAAATTCATTTTTGATTTATTTTTTAAAGCTAAATAAACACGTCCTTATTTTATTTAAAATTGTACTTAATGAGAGCTTTCGTTTCAATGACTAGATTGGCTAATTTTTTTGTTATAATATTAGGTGTCAAATCCTAATTCATAGAGTCTAATAACATTAGGTGTCAAACTTGCAATGTTTACATCTTTAATATTTTCGATAATTTCTCATCCCAGACTCTACATGAAAATTTCAAAATATCAAATCTTATTTTTTTTATAATTCGGAGACATATTTTCAAAAGTATTCTTTATCTAATTATCATCAATTTCTCAATAATATTAAATAAATAGAAATATAAATTTTTAAAAATAATTTTTTTTATTGTTCTTATAAGTATATATATTTAACTATAATTATTATTATTATTATCTATAATAATTATTGAAATGTCAATTATAACTCAAAAAATGATAACCCTTCTGATCTTACCAGATCAGACTTGGACCGTCACGACTGGCTCCAAGCAGAAGTTGAGTGAGATGGGGGGAGATTCCTGCAAGACATTCTGATGCTAAAGTGAGTGATGGTACGAGCAGGCAAAAAGTGTATGTATGGATAAAAGAATGAATACCTGACCCTCTAGGAATAGAGGGTATTTATAACCCCCAGCGCGGGTGTTGGCTGAAGATTTTGATGATATTGTTCTAAGCGAAGCAAGTTGGATGTTTCTATTGGAATAAAGCAAGATGTCATGTTTCGAAATGGTAGAAGCAGTGCTTCGAATGGGCATGTCAAAACTCTGAGCTTCGAGTGACAATTATGGGGATATATTCAAAGAAGTCTCGAAATGGTAACAAGGTTGTGTCTAAGAAATGAGTTCGAAACGAAGAGTGCCAAAAACATTTGAAATTCAAACGCAAGCGGGATGTTTGAAATTTAAAATATATGCGCTCGAGCATTCGCTGACACGTGGAAGCTAGAGGAGGGCATTGCTTTGCATGTTCTGAACGTGGCAGAATCTTATAGTAAGACCGTTATGGTCGAAGTAGTATAAATAGAAGTCTTAGCATTAGGATTTCGGGTGTGTCATATCTATTGTACAAAAATTCAGTAAACATTCAAAATACCACATGGCTAGGGAAATGAATGCACGAACAATGTACGTATGATAACACCAAGTGTTTATGATTCAATAAAACTCTTTATCATTTTCAGTCTTTTCCTCTATCTTCATGTCAATATCATTCAAAAGCCTTTACATTAAAATATTTTCATTCGAAGTCTTTTTACTGATGTCTTACATTTAAATGTTTTCTTTCCATTTCAAATCCTTTACGTTTCAGAAACTTTTGTATATTTCATGCCTTTATCTTCATGCTTTTATCATTCAAATACTTTTTTCATTCAAAGTCATTTTACTGATTTCTTGCATTTAAACGCTTTCTTCATATTTCGAATCTTTTACATTCCAGAAACGCTTTTACATTACATGTTTTTATGCTTCGAAGTTATTTACTTGTCTTTTCTGCAGTTTTACATGTCTTTACAATTGAACTTTATTCATGCAATTTAGTTTCGCATGCATTGATCATGTCATTAGATCTTTAATAGAGTAATCGAAGTAAGTTGAACACCTACACAACATTCTAAATACCAACCATGAATATCAGTTATATAATGAGAATTATCCAAATGACCAATACATCCTAGGATCAATCTAGTCGATCCTGCAAGTTACCAGAGAGATTAAATAACAGTCATTAAGATTATTTGATAGTTTGGAGGACTAGCGGTTGTTTACCAGAAATTACTGTAAACAAATTGGCACACCCGGTGGGACACGTCATTGGTCATTACGAAATTTAGAACAAAGTAAAAAATTGTTGAGACATAACCATTGTAATAGTACTCTCTGAGTGATATGTTTGTTGTTTTATGAACCTTAGAAGTGGTAGAATAACCAATAGCAACCAACCCTTATCCAGAAGAAAACGTTTAAACAAGATGTCTAATCCAGATAATCAACAAGGGGAACAAAATATCCCACATACAACAGGCACTAATATGTACGCTTCGATGGGAACATCTAATGCAATCCCTTCGAACGCACAGTCTATTGCATCCTCTACCAGTAGCGTAGCCACTAATGGAACAAGTGGCATATCAACTAACAATTCGATCCTAGGAAATACTGGAACCATAGGTTATCCTGGGGGATTCGTCCCACCACCAGGGACACAAACCCATTTCGCCTCCCCACTAACTAGACCACCCGGTTTCGATGGTAACAGAACCAGAAATTTCTCTTATGGAATGCCAACATCTTTTATGGCAGGCTTACACAATTCCACATCGAATTCATCACCATAATTAGGGTCTGGGTCTGGGGCAAATCAATTTATGACAAATAACCAAGGGTCAGTGGGTTATAGTGCAATGCCTATCTTAACCACAGAAAATCAGTTGGCCTTTAGGAAATTAATGGATGACAGTAACCATAATATGATAGGAGTGTTAGCACAAACTATGCAGGAAATATTTGCCCCAATAGTACAAAATGTAATTGTGACAAACAGAGAAAACGCGGATAACATGAGTCGAATAGCATATTTTTTCGCTCCCCTAGAAAGGCGTAGGCAGAATCAGGCGGGAGTTCGAGCAAACGTACCTATTATAGAACAAGTTGCTAACGACCCACCCTATAGACCAGCCAGAGAGGAGGTTAATTTGGGGGCAAGGGCTCAAAGGTTAGAAGCCCCAACGATTCAAGGCCCACAAAGGGAAATTATGGAACCAGGGGTAAGGATCGAAAGGCTAGAAGTCCCAGAGTTTCGAGAAGAACAACCTAGAGGGGTTGTCATGGTGGGTCGAAATCAAGATGCTGATGCAGTCGTTCATAGAATTCGAAACGATAACATCTTGGCAGAAAATAATTTAACCACCATGATAGAGAGAATCATGGCCCAGAATGGCCTCAACACAGGAATTAGAAGGCCAAATTATGCCTCCCCTATATTAGATTACATAATGCACACTGATTTACCAAGGGGATATAAAGTCCCTAAGTTTACAAAGTTTGTTGGGGATACCAACGAATCAACAGTCGAACATATAGCCAGGTATCTAACCGAAGCAGGAGATATAGCCAATAATGAAGACCTTAGGATCAAATATTTCCCAAGTTCCCTGACTAAGAACGCTTTCACATGGTTCACCACTTTGCCTCCTGGGTCCATTGATACGTGGGCTCTTTTGGAGAGATTATTCCATGAACAGTTCTACATGGGACAATCTAAAATAAGTCTGAAGGAACTAGCCAGTGTCAAAAGGAAGTTTACTGAACCCATAGATGATTATCTGAATAGATTCAGGCTCTTGAAATCTAGATGTTTTACAGTAGTTCCTGAACATGAGTTAGTCGAAATGGCTGCTGGCGGCTTGGATTACTCTATTCGAAAGA